GGTTGCAGCCGTCATTGTTGTTTGGCGGGTCCGGGCTGGGGATTCGAACCCGCCACCTTAGGTGTACGTGGCTGGCGCCTTAGCCGGTTGAGCTACAGGCGCGGAGCCCAGATTACTTTCTTAAAGAAAAAAATCAAAAACAAAAGATCACTGAGCCTCTGCTTTTATAACCCGCAATGTACAACCTGACTATTATAAAAGTGAGTTACTCAATCTGGAGATAGCTCTAACTTTTGGGAAGCTAGCTGTGTATGGTGTGTGCATGTGTGTTACTGTGCTATTTGAACAACTCTGTTTAGTAGCAAAAGCAAACATTTTTCTTCCATATGAAAACAACTACCCTTATCTTTCATATATTCCCCAGGATGTGACATGATTAGCAGACACATCAGCTTCTTGAAGGTCCTCTGCTAATGCACAATTTGGCATAATTAGACTACTAAGCATCTAAAAAAAATTTCTAGAGAATAAAGAATGATTTGCTACAGATTAAAAGTCAATGTTAATTTTATTTTTATTTTTTATTTTCTTGGAGACAGAGCCTCGCTTTGTCACCCTTGGTAGAGTGGAGTCACACAGCAACTCCCAACTCTTGGGCTCAAGCAATTCTTTTGTTTCAGTCTCCCAAGTAGCTGGGACTTACAAGCACCTACCACAATGCCTGGCTATTTTTAGAGACAAGGTCTCACTCTGGCTAAGGATGGTCTCAAAACTGTGAACTCAGGCAATCTACCCACTTCAGCCTCCTGGAGTGCTAATATTAATTTTAAAATATTAATAGATCTAGAAATCCTACACATTAAAAAACACTATTCAGGCTCAACGCCCGTAGCTCAGTGGTTAGGGTACCAACCATATCCACAGGGGCTGGTGGGTTCAAACCCAGCCCAGGCCTGCTAAAAACAATGACAACTACAACAAAAAATAACCAGGTGTTGTGGCGGGCACCTGTAGTCCCAGCTACTTGGGAGGCTGAGGCAAGAGAATTGCTTAAGCCCGAGAGTTTGAGGTTGCTGTAAGCTGTGATACCACAGCACTCTATAAAAGGTGACACAGTGAGAGTCTGTCTCAAAAAACAAAACAAAACAAAAACACTATTCAATATAGATTCAACTTTTTTTTTTTTTTTAAATGAAACAGAGTCTCATGTTGTTGCCCTCAGTAGAGTGCTATGGTGTCATAGCTCACATCAACCTCAAACTCTTGGGCTCAAGTGATTCTCTTGCCTCAGCCTCCCAAACAGCTGGAACTGCCCAGCAATTTTTAGAGACTGGTTCTTGCTCTTGTTCAGGCTGGTCTAAAACTCTTGAGCTCAGGCAACCCACCAGCCTCAGCCTCACAGACTGGTAGGATTACATGTGTGAGCCACAGCGCCTGGCCTGAGACTCAACATTCTTAAAATGTAATGACACAGCCATACAAAACCAAAGCTTCCAGCAAGTAACATAGTTTCCAACTTGTTTACATTTTAAAGTTAAAAACTTCATCTGAAAGCTGATTTAAATGTTTTCTTCTTCTAATTCAGTGTTCCAAGTTATATTCATAAAACTAATTATTTCTCACCTAAATTGACTACGTTCTTTGCCCAGAAGGTAGGATCACAATGGAAACGAATTGCTCCATTAGCAGCTGGGACAGGATCACATCGTGCTTTCAAAATATGACGCAACTGAAAAGTGATCTTAAAGAGAAAAAATTCATGTTAGCCTTAAAATTAAACAATAATTAAGAAACCATACAAGATAAAGACCTTTAAAAAACTCATGGAGTTCTACAGTGTCATTTTCAAATAAGATAGTGTCAATGTTTAAATCAAAATCAACTTAAACACATACGCTTGAATATCTGCCATTTCTGGTAATAAATTATATTAAGATACTAGGTATCATAAAAAATGTACACAGGGTATGATTTCATTTATATGAAATTCTAGAAAATGAAAGAAATCAGATTACTAGTTGCCGAGGACTAGGGTTAAAAAGGAACGAGGAAACTTCTAAGGAATGACAATAATTTTCTATGTCTTAGGGTGATGGTTTGAATTTTCCAAAATTCAAATTTATATTTCAAACAGATACACTTGGCTCAATATAAATGTCTTAGAAATTCCATTAAAAAGAAATGAAGATATGTGTCTCACCAGTCGCTTGCTATAGAGTAGGGCTGTGCTGCTGCCACTTGCAATTGCCCAGTTTGTAAAGTTCATAACATGCTTCACTTGACGGGAGAGGCCTGTGATGTCGTTCTGCTGCTGTAGTAACTTCATCTGTCTTTCTTTCGTAACATTCTGAAAGAGACCAAGACCTTCACTGAAGAATACTGTATGAAATAAAATCAACTCCAAATTTCTGTAACAAATGCACGCAATACCTAGTATTTCCTTTAATGGTGATACAAATTAACAAACTCATGATTATTTAGTGAGCCTATGATTAATCAGAGGAAGTCACTAACAAATATGGGACTAAAACAATTCTCTAAACTCAAAAGGATATTCCACATACAGAAATTAATGTTAGTTGATAACTCTTTTATTTCAGCACATAAAATGTTTGTTAAAAATAGTGCTCTCCTATTAGGTTAACCCAATATATACAGAGTTTATGGCATAATGAGCTAATGTTTAGAAGTTATTTCATATAATCTTAATTCACTATACTTTAAAAGCTGAAGAAAATTATGTGTCACCAGTGCCACCTCCTGGTATGGTGTGAGATTGAAATTAAAATGTCCCCCCTTAAAATACCTAAGTCAAAATGAAAAAGATAATTCCAGGGCTCTAAGAGTAAAATTAGTGAAACTTGTAATACGAAAAAAGTTCATAAAGGACAAAGAAGTGAGGACTGACCAAACTGGAAAAAAATCAATTTCAAAAAAGTGCTGTGGAAGAAAAAAACTGCTTTATGGGAACTAAACCCGCCAGGAGAGAAGGGCAGTGTCCAGTATCCTTTGGAGTTCAGAATGCTCAACATGTTCAACAACTTTGTCACTTTCTCCCCCAAATGACTCAACTTAGTTTACTGGACAACATTTTTCGTAAGGAAACAAGATGTTCATTTTATAATGTAAACCAATAGATAAAAATGTATTCGACTGAAAGAACACTAGAAATCATCCCTCTTATAAAGTTTAGGAAAACCTTTTACAAACTTAAGCAATATATTTCACTCAAGAACATCTAATTCTAAAATTGCTATCATGTTAGGAGGATGTGGTAGATTTATCATTGGGTATTTACATGCACTTCATCCTTAGGCGGCATCTTTTAATTCAAAACTCTTGAGATGGTTTTTAAAGTACTATTATAGATGTACAACCAAAATCTATTTCCAGTAAGGTTTTTTCTTTTTTTTTTTGAGACAGAGCCTCAAGCTGTCGCCTTGGGTAGAGAGCCGTGGCATCACAGCTCACAGCAACCTCCAACTCCTGGGCTCAAGCGAGTCTCCTGCCTCCGCCTCCCAAGTAGCCGGGACCACAGGCACCGCCACAACGCCCGGCTATTTTTTGGTTGCAGCCGTCATTGTTGTTTGGCGGGTCCGGGCTGGATTCGAACCCGCCAGCTCAGGTGTACGTGGCTGGCGCCTTAGCCGGTTGAGCCATAGGCGCCAAGCCATTTCCAGTAAGTTATAATGTATCAAAACTAGTTACTGTTTAGCGCTCTTCCTTCACAGGGTCCTTTTGAGGAAAAAAAAACCCTAAAACACTACTAGTATTAAATGCAACTAACTAGATGTGCAATAAGAAGGACTCCCAACTTTAATGATTTGTGCAAACAAGAATATTTTTAATCTCACAATAATGTTTCAAGGAAAAAGATGTTGTTTCATAAGACAGGGATTCAGAGATAACACTCTGCAAACACAATTTCTTTCACTGGTATATAATTATACACCTGATACATTTCAAAGGGTTCTATGGAGACAGAAGGGGGGTGGAATGTATTACTGACAATGTGAAGTTAATAGAAGTTAGTCACACAGTTTACATTATTATTATTCAACAATATAGAAAGCACAACCCCATACTGTCTGAGCCTGCAAGAGCAGGAAATTTTCAAACAGAAAAAAAACTTTTTTCAAATTTTCTCAGCTCCTCAGAAAATTCACATTTGAAATTTGTTTAAAACAAATCAACTGGACAGTAGTCTTTGATTATTAATTTAGATTTTATAAACTAAAATTTGTAATTAGATTTTCATCTAGAAATTTACATCTACATATTAATCTCAAAATATATAACACACACATCTAATACCACAAAATTATTAGAAAGTTTAAGGTTTACAAATTTCAAAAAGAGCATTTTCAACAAGACTATGGAATTATTTTTAAAATAAGGTAAACATAAATGACTCAAGCAGAAGCCCCGTATACATTTATATGGGAAAGTTAAATTGAAGCCCCATCTTAAAAGGCCCTAGGAAAGAAATGTGGTGGGCCTGCTTTGCCATTATTTATATCACTTTTTAGCAATATTTTCATTTCTAAGAGGACATTGCTATCTCCTAATGAATACAGCTAAATCAGTGTTATTAAATGGCCTACAAACTTAAAAGAATTAGAGAACAGGTCTCTTTTCAAATGGAAAACGAAAATAACTTTTTTTTTCTTTATTTCCATACCCCCCAACCCATCTAAAAGAGCTTTCAATAAACATTAAAAACAGCTGAAGAGCAAGAGAAGCAGTTTTTGTTTTATTGTGGCTTTGAACCATACCTCTAGCTGCTGTAAGAGAGATTTTCCTTTCTTATTAATTTCATTGATAAGGGTGAAAATGGCCACTTTAATTTCCTGTTCTACTCGTTTGTTAGTCTCATTTACTTCTTTTATCCTGAATAAGAGAAATGCATCATTAGGTTATCAACTTATCCTATGTCTCTGAATTGCCAACTGTTATAAAAATTCATCCAACTGGGCACTTATCCGAGTAATTAAAATTAAAACTTTATCAAAATCTACAACTTATGTTTCAGCAGACCTAACCACTCAACTTCGTCCAAACGAGTCATTTACATAGATAAAAAGTAAATTTAATATTTGCTAATTTCAAACTGAACTCATAAAGGCCAGTTTATTAAGCTGAATGACAATCTCCTTAAGTCACCATGACATGACTGTGATGTATCAACATCTCCCAGCAATGACCACTGGTTATTGTCAAATCTGGTACGTTGGTTCTGTTTAACTTTCATGCTTTCCCAGAACAATATGCAAAAAGCAGAATGCCAAAACCAATTATTGTTATCTTTTGAAGGGGTAGGAGTTAAACTTAGAAGCATTTATTTTCACATATAACTTAACCATTTCAAATATAGGTTCTCATACATTCTTTCCATAATTTCCTATCAAGATACTTTCCTATTATATACAGTAGAGGGCATCAAACATTTCAAATCCACTTTTAAGAATAGCTATTAGATGTTTCAGAAATAAGTATAAGTACCCAATGCAGTTATGAAAGTTCTGATTACCGATGTGAAATGGCTGATACCTTTGTGTTTATGAAATAGGAAGTAGGGTATCCCAGGAGTAAAATAGGTAAAACATCAACAACCAACAATAAGAGACAGGCTTCAATTTTTTTTTTCCCCCCAAGACAAAGTGTCACTATGTTGCCCTCAGTAGAGTTATGTGCCATCACAGCTCACAGCAACCTCAAATTCTTGAGCTCAAGCAATCCGCTTGCCTCAGCCCCCCAAGTAGCTGGGACTATAGGCACCCGCCACAACACCCGGCTATTTTTTGTTTGCATCCGTCGTTTTTTGGCGGGTCCGGGCTGGGGATTCGAACCCCCCACCTTAGGTGTACGTGGCTGG